GGGCTTCAGAAATTAAGCCCCAGTAAGACGACACCTAGAGTACTGCATCCAGTTTTGGTCATCACACTCTAAAAAAGATGTTGAAACTCTACAGAAGGGGCAGAGAAGAGCAACCAGGATGATTAGAGGACTGGAGACTAAAACGGTTACAGAAACTTAGCATGGCTACTCTAGTGAAGAGAAGGACCAGGGGAGACATGATAGCAGTCTTCCAATATTTGAGGGGCTGCCACAGAGAGAAGGGGGGGTCAACCTATTCTTCAAAGCACCTGAAGGCCAGACAAGGAATAAGGGATGGAAACTGACTAAGGAGAGATTCAACCTAGAAACAAGGAGGAACTTTTTGACAATGAGAGCAATCCAATCAATGGAACAGCTTTGTGTTTGGAATTTGTGGGAGCTTCATCACTTGAGACTTTTAAGAAGAGATTGGACTGCCATTTGTCAGAAATGGTGTAAGGTCTCCTGCTTGAGCAGGGAAGTTGGACTAGATGACCTATAAGGTCCCTTTCCAACTCTGTTAATCTGTTAAAGCAGGATCATTAAGAGAGTATTGTTTAAATGTAATAAGGTCTGCATGAACTTTCTAGACCAGGTTTGCATACCTCTTGTCTCCAGCCTGTCAACTATGGATTGTGGTTTACCAGATGGTCAGTCCAACTATTGCTTTTGCAGTCATGGTACAGCAAGAGTTTATCAAGCTTCTAATAAGCCATCATGTATGGCCGATGTACTCTAGTTGTGCTCTGCTTGGTTTGATGGATCATAAGTTGTATGGTCATGAGTAGGCTTTTTCACCAGACCTGTTTCTGTGTCATCAGCCAACCTTTCATTGGAGATTGTGAAGCAGTTACTTCAGGTAGTAGACCAATGAATAGTGAGATGGACCAAGTGCATCTGAATGTTGGCCATAAAGTATCAAACCAATTCGCTAGTCGAATGGTGATTGGTCATATTCACATCAGTGGAGAAAGGATATATTTCTAGAATTGCTCCAAGCCACAGTGGGGACTAGAAGCTCCTCACCTCTAGAGAAGACCATTCTTGATCAGGTTGCTCTACCAGTGGGCCCTGTACAAAATGGAAGTGGAAATGAAGTGGAAGTGGAAGAATGACAAGGGCTATCCTGGATGGATGGATGGATGGATGGATAGATGGATGGATGGATGATTGACTGGATGGATGGATGAATTGGTAACTGGTAAACCATTCTTGCCAATTTGCAAGGGTATAGCAAGTGAAGTTTTCTCTGACATAGAGAAGAGCCTACAGGATATAACTTAGTTTTCTCCTATTAAGATGACACACTGCTAGAAATACATTAGTAAGACACCAACCAACCAACCCCCATCCAGTTGTGTTTGACTCTAGGGAGTGCTGCTCATCTCTGTTTCTTAGCTGAGTGAGCCAGCATTGTCCAAAGATGCTTCTGTGGTCAGGTGGCCAGCATGGCTATACGCCAAGGCCAACCAAATGCTGTGTTATTGGGGGAAATGATGTAAATTAAACAGTTGCCTATTTCCATATCTTAAGTATGTCATTATTGTTCTTAAGTGCTGCAGTGGAAGAGGTTATGAATTGAGAAGGATGTTTATTACTACAATTTATAAATAATGAAATAAACGATCAAGTCCATCCCAAAACAAAGTGACAGCTATCTCCTTTTTTTCTCTAGAGAATTCCCCTTTCCACCCATCTCTGGCTTTAACTGATAACTCTGTTATCTTTTGCATGACTGTTGAGATAGAAGGGCAAGGAACTTAATTAGGAACTCCTGCTATTCATTCCCCGATTTCATTGCTTTCATGTGAGTGATTTTCAATCTCTTTCTTGCCTGCCGCAAAGTAATGTGATAAATTTACTGGAATATGCAGCATGGCTGTGATAAAAATCAGCTGGATGAACTATAAACTTATGCTGCAGTTTAATGTTATAAGAATAAGCCACAGTGAGTCTCAGGCTTGTCTCCTTTCTCTAGATATAGCTCAAATCTTGAAGATCACAAGTGAAAGTCTGCCGGCTGTATCTTTCATCATCCTGAATTTAAAAATTGAAATAACTGGCACATTGCATCAATCTCTAATATGGCTTCTTGGTTGAATTCTTGGTGTTCTCTGAGTTTGCTTAGCTTCTTACAGACATCTCATTACCAGGTTAGGTAACATCATCATCATCAGAAGGAGGGAAGGAAGGAAAATAGCAATAGCACTTAAATTTATATACCACTTCCCAGTGTTTTACAGCCCTCTCTAAGTGGTTTACAGAGTCAACCTTTTCCCCCCAACAATCTGGGTCCTCATTTTACTCACCTCAGAAGGACGAAAGGCTGGGTCAACTTTGAGCCTGGTGAGATTCAAACTGCCAAATCGCAGACAGCCAGCAGGCAGCAGAAGTAGCCTGCAGTACTGCACTCTAACCACTGCGCCACCATGGCTCAGGGCTCGTAGATGCCTACTATGATATGATTTATGAGTGTACAGTTAGTACATTTGAGGTGTCTGATGGGTATATGCCTGTCCTATTTTTTTTTGTACAATTATCTCTTAATAAGGACAGTCGCCATGACTTTCCACATCTCAGTTAAATCCCAAAGAAGACCTCCCATGAAGAAACATATTTCATCATGGAGTTTTGGACAGCTAAACATAAACAGACGAAGAAGCTACAAGGGTGAGGCAGAGATGTGAATGAAACAGTAATAGCAGCATCCTTAGCTTACAATCCAAAGAGAGATTAAAAACACATCCAAAGAGATTTGGAAAAACTCTTAAGGCACCCTGAAAATGAGGACAGATAATATTACTAAAAAAACACACACACATCAAAAAACATCCTCTGCCCTCTGGTTGCATCCTGACCTTCCAAGTGAAGATTAGTTTGAGGAAGGTTGCAAGGCAGCAGAATGCCTATGTTATGAATTTTCCTTGCAATGCTTCAGGTCTAAACCTTCAATTATCTGGCAAAGCTCTCGCCCCTTGAACTCTCGCCACAAAAGCCTTGCTCTAAGTTTTGGCCTGCAACAGGTTTATGAATTGTTTTCTGTAGGAATTCTTTCCATACCTCTGTTACTTCTGAAGGTGTTTTTCTTCCCTACGCCCTGCCTTCCTTTCTCCAGTCACCCCTGGATGAAAGTCAGTCTTCTGTTTCACGAATTTGCCTTGAGAGACAAAGGGCTGTGTCGGCAGGCACAGAAATTTGGTTTGGGTCTTGGCTCAGCCACCGACAGAGCCCAGAGCGATATGCCAGGAATGTAGCATAAAAATGAGGAAAGCTAAAACTGGCCTACTACCAAGGACAACATCGTGTAAGATATTAAAAAAGTAAGGCATCTGTCTCAGGTCTAGTCTAGACCGCTGGACAGAAACCAACAATTGTGTAGTAGAGAAGGCAGTGTCCCATTGTTTTGTTAGATGGTAGTCATGCTTTGATTATGCATAGGAACTATATTATAGTACCACCAGACCAGACCCGATCCGACCTTACCCTATCCTACCAAACCATACCCTACCATATTATACCCTACCTTTCCCTACCCTACCTCATTCTATCTATCCTATCCTACCCTACCCTACCCTACCAAACCATACCCTACCCTACCCTACCTTATCTTATCCTACCAAACCATACCCTACCATACCATATCATACCCTACTCTACCAAAACATACCCTACCATATCCTACCATATCATATCATACCCTACCCTACCAAACCATACCCTACCATATCATACCTTACCTTACCCTACCCTACCCTACCTTATCCCATCCTACCCTACCCTACCAAACCATACCCTACCATATTATGCCCTACTTTACCCTACTCTACCTCATTCTATCTATCCTACCCTACCAAACCATACCCTACCCTACCCTACCTTATCTTATCCTACCAAACCATACCCTACCATATTATACCCTACTTTACCCTACCCTACCTCATTCTATCTATCCTATTCTACCCTACCAAATGATACCCTACCATGTTATACCCTACCTTACCCTACCCTACCTCATTCTATCTATCCTACTCTACCCTACCAAACCATACTCTACCCTACCCTACCTTATCCTACCCTACCCTACCAAAACCATACCCTACACTACCAAGCCATACCCTACACTACCTTACCCTACCATACCATACCCTACTATACTCTACCATACCCTTCCTTACCAGACCAGACCAGACTAGACCAGACCATCCTAGGAACTGTTTTACAGTATCTCTATATCTGTAGAGGTATTATCAAAGGTGATTAAAATGATTATTTCTTCTATATATGACATGGTCCACCCTTTCTCCTTCATGGCTAGCTTTCCAGGCTTTCAGACATTCTCAGTATTTCTCCACAGCTGTCATTATTTAACATGCAGATGCCAGGATTGAAATACTGGCCGTCCTGTGTAACACAGCACACTGGGGCTGACTTTCGCATCATATATGTATATTTCAAAGTTGTCCTGGCCATAGGCTCCAGCAGATGGGTGGTGCTGAATGAAATAGCACTCCAAATGACGGATGGGGAAAGCTGCATCCACATGGTTGCTTTTTCCATGTAGCAGAATGTTTAGCTCAGTCCAACTCGGTTATTTCCCCCCATCCATCATGAAAATCTTGTCGGCTCCAAACTCAGGGAGTTACGTTGACCATATATTCATAAAGCCACTGTCTGGAGAAGGATGGCTTAGCTCTTCTGAATCTGGCAGGTTACCAGAGCAAAGGGAGGTGCTCTTCTCCACAGATACAGTGTGCAGCTCTTCTGCTCTAGGTTCTTGCAGCCTGCTCAGATTAAAGCAAAGAACCCATAAGTTTGGCTCAGTAATTGGGGTGGAAACACAAAAGTTTCTGGTTCAATTTGCAACTCTGGGGTGAATGCCAGTTCCAGATCAATCCCTTTTTGACTATCTCTTTGCCAGCTGCAAGAAGATGATATCAGCTAAACCTCTAGCCCAGGTATAACACCTGCTTTAATTTCTCTTTCTCCTGTTTGATATCTAGGAGGCTCTCTCAGTGGTGAGTGAAGATCAATCCCTCTTTGATTCTACCTACGGAGCTGGTGCTCACCTTTCCAAGGCAGACATGACGGCCTCAGGGAACCCGGATTATGGTCAACCACACAAGATCAACCCTTTACCTCCCCAGCAAGAGTGGATCAATCAGCCAGTCCGTGTCAATGTTAAGAGGGAATACGATCATGTGAATGGATCCAGGTAAGGAAGGACAAGTACCTATCTGCAGCACGATGAATCCAGCTATCTTATGAGGGCTACAGAGGGACGTGGTAGCTCAGTGGCTAGGACGCTGAGCTTGTCGATCGGAAGTTCGGCAGCTTCGCGGTTTGAATCCCAAGCGCCGTGTAATGGAGTGAGCTCCCGTTACTTGTCCCAGCTTCTGCCAACCTAGCAATTCGAAATCACGTAAAATGCAAGGAGAAAAAAATAGGAACCACCTTTGGTGGGAAGGTAACAGCGTTCTGTGTCCCTTCGGCGTTTAGTCATGTCAGCCACATGATCACGAAGACATCATCGGACAGTGCTGGCTCTTCGGCTTTGAAATGAAGATGAGAACCGCACCCTAGAGTCGGGAATAACTAGCACATATGTGCGAGGGGAATCATTACCTTTACCTTTTTATCAGGGCTACAAATGTCCAGTCAGCCACCAGAGGGCAGCAAAGACATACAGATAGTTGTAACTTTGCTGCCATCTAGAGGGAGTAAGAATAATTTGTATCTCAGATGTAATTAGACGTACTAGTTGATATATACAGCTTGATGACACAGGGAAGCTTGGATCTCAGAAAGATGATGAGAATGGGTCACGTTACATATTATGTGGCTGGGCTCTCTTCCATTCATTAACTTTTCACATAGAGACACTCTGTTTTTCTCTTATACACGCAGAAAAATGCACAAACAAATCCATTCATAAAACTACTACCAAGAGAAATGATAGGAAAGCAATTTCCTCTTGTAATTTACTGGCTAATTAACAATACGTCATATCGGTATGTATTGCATAGATTTTCTTAAGCCAGATTCGAATCAAAACATGGATTTGCTCTTTAATGACATTTTTAGACCATGATCCAAGAAATGTACCAGAATCCTGACTTCTCCTCCCATTGCAACCATGCACACATTAACTCCTTCCACTTTAACCTTCTGTGACATCCCTATTCAGGATGTCACAGGAGCAAGGGGCTGGACTAAAAGACCTCCAAGATCCCTTCAAACTTCTCTTATCTTCTATTCTATTTTACATTCCAATATCTGTTCTGTTCTGTTCTATTTTACATTCCAATATCTGTTCTGTTCTGTTCTATTCTATTCTATATTCCAATATCTGTTCTATTCTATTCTGTTCTGTTCTATTCTATTCTACATTCCAATATCTGATCTGTTCTGTTCTGTTCTGTACTATTCTATTCTATTCTTTTCAGTTCAGTTCAGTTCAGTTCAATATTTTAGTTCATTACTTCATTTCATTTCTATAATTTCTATTCCATTCCCAATGAAGCTGTATCTCTACATGAGCAAATTAAGAAGCCATGCCCACAGGTAGCTCAGAAGGAAATAGCTGATACATTATTGGGACAATGTGTAATTCCGGGCAAGCCAAACCAGTTTAAAATTATTACCCTCCTAGGGAGAAGAAGATAAATATTTGTGAATGTAGGTCTGGATTGGATTATTACTGCCATTATTGTTTCGCAAAGATGTCCTCAAGACAGCTGGGACAAATGCTTCATTGATTAGTTTAAAGGTTGAACTTTGGAGATTGAACAGGTCACAAAGATGGAAGGACTGAGACTGAGATCAAAGGGTTTGCAGTGATGGTCCTCATGTAGAAATTAATGACCGCAAGTTAATTTAAGATAACATAAATTCAGGAGAGGCTATAGGCATAAAACTCTTTTTATGATGACTGAGTAATGTGCAGAGTAGCTATGAGGCAAGATGAAGGATTGCACAGACCTCCCTCATTTTTTTCAAATAGTGTAGAAAGCAGTGATGTGCGGTGAGGTTTATGGCTGGTGAGGCAAAAAGAAAGAAAGCAGCTTTTGGCCGCCCTGCTGCTATGTCCGACGCCTCTATGTCGGACATAGCGGCAGGGCGGCTTTTGCCCGCTTTCAAGAAAGCTTTCTTGAAGAGCTGCTGAGGTCAGGCTGGGTTAGCTGCTGCCAGAGTCCCCAATGGATGACTCTGCTTAACTGTTTAAAAAAGCCTCTTTAAAAAACGCCATCTACAGGAGGAGGCAAGAGAACCACGTGCCTCATCTACATAAGGAATTTTTTGGCTTTTAACCCTTACTTAACTCTTCTCGAGTGATCATAAAGTCAGCCTAAATGAGGCACGTGGTTCTCCTGCCTCCTCCTGTAGAGGGCACTTTTTTAGAGGCTTTTTTAAACAGTTAAGCACTAAGCAGAGGTTCACCGACAAAAGGGCGACCGACAAAAGCATGCCCAACGAAACCGCGGTGACAAAACCGCGAGTTCTAAACCATGCCGACGAATGAGCGCTGAAGCGTGCCGACAACAGCGCGTCGACAGAAGCGCGCTCTAACCCTAACCCTAAACCTAACCCTAAACCTAACCCTAAACCTGTCCCTGACCCTAACCCTTACTTTAACTTAAATCGCGCTTCTGTCGGCGCGCTGTTGTCGGCGCGCAGTTGTCAGCGCGTTGATGATGTCACAGTTTTAGCGCCACGGTTTTGTCGGCGTGCTTTTGTCGTGCGCGCATTTGTCAGGTCACGCTAAGCAGAGTCATCCACTGTGACTCTGGCAGCAACTTCCTCAGCCTTTTTCCTTTTACATTTTTTTTCTTTTCATGATGACAGTGGTGAGGCTCTGCCTCCCCTGCCTCCCCTGACTGCACGTCACTGGTAGAAAGTTGGATCCATGGCACTTCTCTATCGCCAATCTAAGTGCATCACCCCTCTTCGAGTTTTCTTCTTAAGGACCAGTTTGCAGGTAAAAGAAATTAAAAAAAGGAAAATGGGTTAAAAGGAACCCATCAGTGGTTTGCATTCATAGTGGGATAGTGGATTTGGCTGCAATGAGGTTTTCTTAAAAAAAAAAAAAAAAAACCAGGAGATTCTTTTATGGTTCTTCCCACATCGTGTGTGTGTGTGTGTGTGTGTGTGTGTGTGTGTGTGTGTGTGTGTGTGTGTGTGTGTGTGTGTGGTTTAATTCATCTTGATCTTTTCTCTGGCTTATGTCATTT